ATAAGGATTATGATTTACAGTTGATGGTTAGGGCCAGGAATTAGCGTTGGGGTTTTTGTCCCGAACTTACATGTTATAATGCCAAGACCCTATTTAGCCAAATGGGTGAATGAATTTCGCGCCAGAATCCAACACCTGTTATCATCAATCTGATTGATCCGTCAATAAATTATAGTCCCTCAGTCTTCTCCAAGTATCCATTAGAGCTGGTTGGTTAAGAAATAGTCAATCAGAGTGCTCAAACATAATCCTACACGGAACGTGCTTTAATCCAATATATATTCCGCTAACAAAAATTTACAATTCTAAATGATAGATGAAGGTTTGGAAGATGTATTCCTTGAGCAGAAAGATTTAGTCGTGAAGCTTTTATTGTAGTCCTAGGATGACGTTATCAGAATATACTTTAAAGAGAAGTTAATTATTAAAATTTCTCCACAATTGAACAATAGCTTGTTCTGTTAACCTTGGATATCGTTAATTATTATGCATAACTGTATAATCGTTAGTCCTATTTCATGATAAATCATTTTTAGTCCTAAATCATATCAACAGAAATACATTCTTAATTATTTCTGTTTTGTTTTGTTTATTTTAAATATGATAAAAAACTGATTTATGTCTCAATTCGTATAGAAAGATGAAGACTATGGACGAACGATTTAGTATAAACCAAAACATAATTCAAAAATATCTCTGAATAAACTGAGTTACATATTGAATTCGCTTATTTAGTCAATAATCAAATCTGGATAAATTGAACTCAGTGGCTATTTACTTACTTACGCCTGTTACCCTTCGTGGAAGAGCACAGTCAGACCACCAGCATTCTCCACCCAACTCTGTTCCAAGCAATTCTTTACACTTGTTTCCAGTTGCTATTTATTCTTCCCATGTCTGCTTCCAACTCCCGATCCAATATGTCCTTTGCTTTCCCAGTTTTCCGCTTCCATTTAGGATTCCAAGTTAGTGCTTTCCTCGTGATGCAGTTTGGTGATTTCTTCAATGTATTTCCTATCCATTTCGAGCGTCTTTTCCTAATTTTCTCTTCAGATGGAAACTGGTTTGTCCGTCCCACATTAGGCTGTTACCGATTGCATCCGGTCAATGGACACTGAGTATCTTGCGAAGACAATTATTTATAAATACTTGTACTTTCTTTATGATGGTTGTAGTGGCCTTACCAGTAATAGATGACATTAATAAATCAATAACTTAGTGTCTAAATACAATTCACAAATATTATAAAATTTAACTGCCATAACTAACTGATTTATTTGATTCAATATTTATGATAGCCTTCCCAGCTCTGTTTAATTGGATTCGCCTGCACACATTTTATATAAGGGATCATCATGAGAAGTTAGTTGTCCCTCTTCGTAGCATTTTCCATTTTAGTCCACATCAAGAAAGAAAAAATAATAAACGAACAGACAAATACAGAAAAACTTTTAATACACATATTGGTCATTTAGCCTTGTTAAAGTGGAAGGATAGATTTATCGTGAATATGTACAGTATAAATGATATAATATTTGAATTTTGTTCTCATTAATCATTATTTATTAACTTTTAGAACAGGGAAAAATATCAAACTAAAAAATTTCCTGATTAATCATTTAAGTATTAAATTAAATTACACGAAAAAAAGTCAGTCATTCACTTACTAGTTCATTTTTGTATTGTTTGTTTGAATCTTCGCATTGATGTTTAACCCTGCAATTGATCCGTCTCTTATTTGAATATGTGTATCCTTTGTGGACTGTCTCGATATTTTCTTTAAGTCACAAGCATTATAAACAGAAATGGATGGTGACTAGGAGTGAAATCCAGGATGCGCACTTCAAGTCATGGTGGGAACATCAACTCTTAGATGCAGATAGATTAAGCTAGAGTCCCAAATGAGACGAAACGCACGTCCTGGATTCCATTAATAGTCACCAACTATCTCTGCTTATAATTTACTTACTAATTTAAAATATGAGTGGTATTTTTTACCTTCTCTGTGAGATATTTTTAAAACTAGTGTATATTGTATATAAGGGAATCTTGTAAAGTGTAATAACCAAGTTGACAATTTTCACTGAGACCACATTAAAACAGTGACAATGTAATGATCTTTCTGCTTTTACGTGAGATGTCTATGGATAAATATTTTACTATCATTATTTTAGCACAATGAATCTGGCTTAATAATAATTCATTTCTTAAGTTGAATAGTATAGTGTTTACATAAAAGACTCCTATATCAATCATAGTTTTTGACAAGAGTGCATTTAACATGAAGTCATTTGTCGATAACATTCGCTCCTGTATTTTCACTTACTTTGAAACAAACTATTTTTTATAAACATAACGTCTTATCATGGTTAGAGGTGCAACCATTGAGCTATCCTAGGGAGGGGGTTCGAGCAACGAACTTAATGGATAATTGCGATATTGATATTGAGTTTTTACTAAGTGCTAATCAGTTTCCTATCTGTTTAGACACAAGGTGATTCAAATTGAATCCCACAGAAAGCATTATTTCTCTAAGATTATAGAAGCACCTTGCTAAGTGGTTCCAGCTTGTACAAAATCTGATTTTTAGGTTTCTGTTGATAAGTCCAAACCTCATAACATCAAGGATTTCAAGTTGCATCTGTCGTTATATTCAACAATGAGGTTAAATATCATTCAATTCCACACACCAACTAATAGATAAATGTGGTATTAATTCACAATGTTTTTTACTGAAATTCTATGTGTCCAAAAAAGTTCTTTGGAACTATCCATTAAACTTCAGTAATGTATAGTAGACCTGAATTTCTGTTGATTTTTGGAAATATAAATCCATTACCAGTTTTAGTTTATTTGACATGTGACTAGTAGTGGAATTCAAGGCATGGAGGTCATGCTGTTTAGGATACACCAGTTGAATATACCTGCATCCCAGTGTTGTCATTCACACTAATACTGGGATATATTGTCTATTCTTTCAAATCCCACTAAGCTATTGAATCCAGATATTCACTAAATTATTTAACGGTTATGATATGTTCTATGATTATTGTTATTAATAACTGGATTTCTATTGGTCTATATCCCTAGAATGAAGCTAAATCCAGTCAATGATTTACAACTAGGGTGAAATACTCATACTGTGTTTTACTACTAGCCACAGTGCAAGTTTGTCAAAATTCGTAACAAAAAAGACTGTATCAAGAGACAATTCACTTAGGTTTTACTGTTGTTTGATCACTGAGTACTGACCAGTGTCATTTATGTTAAGTTCCTCTTACTGTTGATAAAATTCTGTTGATCAAGTTGCACTATGGTCACTAGTCTAATTGATTCGATATCACGTGCAATATGTTCAGATGCAAAGTCGTGGTTAACGGTGATCGACAGGAAATCCTGAAGTTATATTTCATACTATTTGGCATTCATCAGCAAGGTGTAGCCATAATCTCGAGAAGATTAATGGTCTTCGATGAATTCGATCTGGTATCACCCAGCTTCATAGTCAAAGACATTGCCATGACCCGAATAGCTCAGTCATAACACCTCTAAATATGAAACTTGGTGTCGACGGAACGATTCCAGCAAAGAGCATCATTTCCCTAAAGACTAAAGGTATACCTTGCTGATAAATATTAAATAACATGAAACCTAGGTCCAGGATTCCTTATTCACTACCTCCAACCACCACTTTAAATCTGCTTAGTATACATATATGACAACAAAGATTAATTAACTTCAGTTTGATAATTAACAATGGGAAATTTCAAACGATTATTAAATCCAATACACAAATATATAGTTGGATTATTACTATATCATTATAATCATTGTGCATCATCATCATCATATGAATATCTGCATAATAATTGCCTTTGTTTACTTGTGAATTTATTTGAATATTAAGCATAACTATATTATATATGTATATTAGCCTGTTCACAATTGTACAATTGGATTGTCTGGTCATCATTGAAATGATACCTACTATAGTTTCTTTTCTTTTCTTTACTTTACTTTTCTTTTTTCTTTTAATAATCCAAAATATAAACGAATCAGATTACAGACAGGTCATTTTACATAGATAGTTATACAGACAGGTCAATTAAGTAAAAACCAGTCAGCATCATTTAATAATAAATAGAATAGATTGGTTGTTGAAAATGAGGATTTATCCCTCTATTATAAAACACAAACTTTTTTAAATCTTAAATATACTAAATTTATATTAGTGTAATGATCACTGTTATTATCATTACTGATGACCATACTCATATGATGAGCATTGTTACTAAATGACAATTATTTCAATGAAACACTAGTGTATTTCTATAAACTGAATAGATAATAATAATGATAATGTTGATAATGTCCACTTACCCTATGGATCATTAAATATATATATATATATATATATTAAATTTATCCATCAGTATTATTGTAACACTTAAATATTTTAGACAACATTTAGAATCAAGAGAAAAAAAATAAATAGACAAATGAAGTTACTGAAATATTCTTTAGTTTCTATGATGAAAAATATAAAAAACGATAACAACAACAATAACAACACGCGCACACACACACAAGCACACACACAATCTATTTCGAGTAATATTTACTTGTTAAAATGATAAATCAATGTTGGGTATCAAAAACATCATGATCTTTATTTATTAAAAAAAAAGAAAAAGAAAAGAAAGAAACTAAATAAATAAATAAAATAATTATCATATTCTATACAAACTTTCAATGTATACTACTTACAAAGATTGATCTTTTAAAAAATCTTTTGTGGACATTAAAGAGTCATTAATTTTAACAAATCGAAATTTGTAATTATATCCCATTCTGCATTTTCTACTTGAGTACGCACACACACAGTTACATACACCCATACTCGTATATACAATAATATCTATTTCTTTTTTTAATTGGATTTATTAATTATTAGCCTCTAAAACGACCAGCATCTCAATGCTTGGTCGTTTGATGTGGCGATGACCCGAGGTGAGAAAAAAAAGTTAAAATTTCTTATTTGATTATATATTTTGTTTTTAGCTAGGGACATTTTATGAATAACCGTCAATTGTTATATATATATATATATATATATATATATATATTATAGTTGAGTTCATGAGTCAATTAAAGTTAGACCACCATGAAAAACCTTGAAGCACTAGACGGTCATTTCGTCCTAGTACGGGACCCTTCAGTAACTTTAATTGACTCATGAATTCAACCATTAAACTACTACAATCTTCACAAAAAAACCCTCTTCTGAAATATATAATTAGTTGTCGACTAAATAATAAATATTTATCTCTAGGTGTGGTTGATATTGACTGTAGAAATATGAACCATTGTAATATTCAAGGTCGTTTTTCAAGGCTATTTTTTACTTCACATGCATTGTGTTTTCTTTTTTGTTCACTTCATTAAAGTATAGAGTAAAACTAATTTACATTAACATATGGTATTTTAATGTCTTGGAAAAAAAATAATTTCTTATTCCAAGTGAATGATGTCAGTTACTTGGTAAATGCTAATATCTCTATATACTCAGTAGAAGTTTCATGCCATTTCATTATATTATAATAGTAATAATAGTTATAATGGTAAAGATAATAATTATGCTACTGGAAAGAACTTGTGATTATAACAATTGTATGGGAATTTTTCTGTAGTTTAGCATATATTTAAGTATATTAATAAAGGAAAAACATATCATTTTGATCAAACAAACTACTTATATAGTGTCTTAACGAAAATGTGTAGCCAAAGCATAAAAATTCATGGATTTGAATATTGTGTTAACTTGAGATGTTTAATAATGTTTTGCAGAAAATCATTAAACTAGGTAAAAATAATAACTCTTTACTTGTTATGTATGTATTAAATAGACATTTGGGAAAATTACTCAACAAACAGTATTGTTAAATATACCTTAGATCAACTCATGAATTAAACTATGAGAATACTACAATCTCTACAAATCTCCATCCTGATAATAATCATCATGTGCTCACTAATGACTGGCTTCAAGATGGATTAACTGGAGTTCTAGTAAGAAGCCATGACGAGTGAAGTTCAACCGTTTCGGTTGTGAGACGGTTTCCCACTTCAGACAATAGATGAAGGCTTGAGCAAGATCATTGATTGGTTGAAGTTGGACATTAATACTGTCTCCACAAATACCCATTCTGATAATTTGATATACTGAATGAATGATTTCGATAATTTTAAATAATTAAACGAAAACAGAAACAACTAGTTATGATAAAGAAAGAAAACCAACTTACATTTGTTCAAAAGAACTGGGAAATTTTCCATGGGATATATAAGCAACGAGCTATACATTCCATTATGCGGAAAATAAAAAACCAGACACAATGACCCTTTGGTAATAAATGATTTACGTTCATAATCAAAGAAATCAAGTATCTGTGTTTGTAGTAAATATTTCTTAGTGGTTGAATTCATGAGTCGATCCAAGCTAGACAACTATTGGAAACTTATAAGTGCTGTACAACCGTTTGGTCTTAGTATGGGACTCCTCAATGGTTTTCATTTAATATCCCTCACAGTGGACTCGAGCTCAGGGCATTCGGTCTCATATACCAACACCTAATCTCTAGATCACTGAGCTGTCCAGTATCCAACGGTGTCAATGTCTAACTTCAACCAATCCACGGTATTGCGCGACCATCCTTCATTGTCTTTGGTGGGTAATGTCCTTACACCTGACACTATTGAACTGAACTGGTCACGACTTCTCACTAGAACTCAGGTAATTATCTCTCGAAGCTGGTCAGTAGTAAGTATATAATATTTGTCAGTATCTTGAGCGTGAGGCCGAAAGTCCTAGGTTCCAGTCACGTTCCCAAGTTTTCAATACTGGTCTAACATTGATTAATTCATGATCCCAATTGAAACTTAGCAATCTCTACATTCCTATACCGACTATGATTCATTATCAGAAATCTCTTTTTACACAGCCTTATGCATATAAATAGATAGACAGATACAGTCAAATTTATTATTATTGGTCAGTTTAAATAACAAAAACGTAGATAATTGTGTTGCCGATATGTTTACAATGAAGTTTGATCATAGCATTAAAGATGGTGACATCAGCTGTTATTATTATTATTATTATTATTACACATAATAAATAGATAGGAAGAAATAACAAAAAGCAGTCGTTAATCGTTTAACATTAAAATTATTTTTAGGCAAATCAACGTAGCCAAATTTTATATTTTGCATAGATTTTTTTCGGATGAATAGTCCTTATTGGCTCATATTCTCTTGTTTATGTCATCCTGACAATATTTCACTCACTTTCAATTTTCAGAAATAACATTTCACTGGAAAGTGATTTAATAACACGATGTGACGATTATGAATAGAGGTTGTTATCTAAAGAAGGCTGGTTGTTGGCTTTTCTGAGATAATGGGAAAAAAATTTACAATTCAAGTGGTAGAGTTGTCTTATTTGAGTTGGATAGTTAGGATTACATACAGCTTAACTTTCATGTGTTCACTAGCCACCAGCTTCAAGGTCCAATCCCTGGAGTTCTAGTGAGAATCCATGATCAATGGAGTTCAACCGTGTCGGGTGTGAGGCAGTTACTCCCCGAAGATAATCAAAGATGGTAGCATACTATCATGGAATGATTAAAATTAGGCTCTTAAATCACTGGATTCCGGCATGATAATTTACGGGTTAACCGTTAGCACACAAAACCAAAGGTCTTGAGCTCAATTACCATTTTCAGGATTGTGGATGCAAACTTCCGAGTAGTTCTATACTGGGATTAAATAGCTGTCTAGTGCTTCTAAGTTCACACTGATGGTCTTACTTTGATCAGTTTATGATTTCAGTGAAATTCAATAAAGTCTACAACCCCATACTGTCAAACATTAAAATGTTTTATCAGGATTAGAAGTTACCTAATTTTGTTATGTTTTACCTAACAGTAATATGCCATAAATTCAAATAACATTAAATCAATAGTAGTTTAAATTCATTATTGATATCAGCCTTCTGAGTGACGAATAATTCTTCATGTCCCTACAAAATTTATCACCAGGAGTATAGAAAAATAAATCACAGTCGTTTTAATATCGGTCAACAAACCGCGTACACAGATTTCTTTTAATAAATATTTTCTAAAGGAAAAAAACGAGTATTGTGAAATGTTCAGCCATGAGAGTTGATAAAGCCGTTTCGGGAACCTGATTAGCACATTTGGATAATGTTTACTTACTTTAGCGGTACATATACTGGGATTCATTATAGATTTTCAGTAGGAAACCATTTGATATTTAAACCCCAATGTACGGTTAGTTGGACTTATGTTTGAAAGTATGTGTTTTATACATACATGTCAGAAATACACAACTCCAAGATTTTTGCACTCTTGGCAAGCATATAAGTATAATTGCTATGATTAAGAGGATAAAATGATATCCACTCGCTTGATTTGTTATCACATCATCTGTTTATTTTAACAATTAAACGTTAAGTACATACGTAAAATACACAAGTCAGGGACTTCATAGTATATATATATGATCATAGATCCACCCAGTGTATCCGGCGCGAGTATATATTTTTAATCCTTTTTCTTGATACAATTAGTAGATTAGACTGGTCACCACTGAGCCATTCATGTTGGTTCATAAGATGACTTCAACTATTACCCCGAACACTATGAGTAGGTGAAAGTTGAATTTTATACCCTAAGGTATTATATATCATATAATCTTCCATATACACAATGAGAAAAATAGTTTGTACATGTAATTTTGTATGAAATATGCAGTAAATAAGTTTTATAAACAGATCAAATTTAATTCATATTTTGAAATATGACAAACAAACAAAAAAAAAGAGAAAATTTCAGATCATGACTTAATCAATCAAAAGACCAATATATTCAAATTATTTATTTATTAAAATGACCGCGTATATGAAACATTTTGATGGATACAAAATTAAACAATTTAGATATTTATATCAGATGGGTTTTTTGGAGATTGCAGTAATTTCAATGGTTAAGATCATGAGTCAATTGAAGCCAGACCACCATGGAAAACCTGGAAGCACTGGACGACCGTTTCGTCCTATTGTGAGGCTCCTCAGCTGTGTGCATCCACGACCTCACCCCCTGTGAGATTCGAACCCAGGACCTACTGGTTCCGCGCACGAGCACTTAACCATTAGACCACTGAGCCGGCATCCAACGGTGTTAATGTCTAACTTCAACTAATCCACGAAATTGAGCGACAAATCCACCATTGTCTTCAGCGAGTTACTGTCTCACAACAGACCTGATTAAGATATTTCACTAAGCAATATTCGATTTTTTTCCTTAGTTTTATGGGGGAAAACAATCTATTTTTCTATTCGAGAAATGAAATAAATATTTTTTTTCCGAAAAATTCTTTAATAAAAGAATTAAATGGTGAGACTATAATTTATGGACAACCTTTGAGTGATACTAAACTGACCTTGAGAGTGTTCACTTAGTAACCAGGACCAAATAAGGGTTATGAACTTTTGTGAGGAGTTATAATTATAATTTATAGTAGGTGATTAAGATTAGGAATTAGATTTCGAGTTTCCACCACGAACTGACATCATTTATAATGCCAAAACTATATTTATCCAAAAAGATGAGTAAATTTCGCGCAAAACATCCGAGACCTGTTATCTTATACCTGATTGGTCCGTCCGTAAATTATAGTCTTGCTTACAAATGTACTTTTTATGTATATTTCAAAATATCTCATTCATGAATCCATGAAGTAATTTACATATTGACTAATACTTTTTTATTAAAAACAAACAAACATGCAAACTTGGAAAATAAAAATTATTTCATGAGCTCAGTGTGAATTTAAAAGGAGTTTTGTAGAATTTAATTAAATCTGAAGATTTTGCTTCATCATAGATTGATCCCATTCGGAGTAAAACTGAAAACCAGAGGGTATCACAT